ACATCGGGACTGTGCCTTTTTACTTGTCAACTTTGGGGCTTCTCAGCCTCAGCAGCCAGCAGCTGTCTGAGCGAAGAAACACCTCTTGCTCAGTGGGCCAGGAACGGAAGCAGAGCTGGACCCCGAGGTTGAGGGGCTTTCCCCAGCCCCTAGAGCCTGGCACTTTAAACTTGGACTTAAAAGCCTCCAAATTGTAAGAATAAACTCCTGTTTGTTAAGGCCATCCCATTTGTGATATATTTCTTGTCAGATCGGCACTGGGTTACCAGAACAGCAGCTAAGTGCTTAACCATTATATCACGAAGGCTCCTTTAGCATGAAGGAAGCCATAGGCAATGCACAAATGAGCACAGTTGTGTTCCAATAAAAGTTTATTTACACAGGTGGTGGGCTGGATTTGGTCCACAAGCCTGAGTTTGCAGACCCCTGCACTAGGATCTAAAGAACCCAGAAGTCATCAATCTGGCATCACAGGTCTTCTAAAGGTTGATAGAGGTTCACCTTGTCTTCCCCAGAAAGGACAATAATCAACTATTTCAGATGCAGCATCAATTTTGTTCTAATTATTTTGTGATATGTTTTGGTATTTTTATGTTCTTCTAAATGGGTGATCTTAATCCCTCCTTTTTGTCCCTACTGCCCTCTCTCTGTATACATATCACTAAATGCTTCCCATTCACCTTCATTCTATCCCCCTCGACTCACAGGATTGGGTGATTTTTAGGATAATACTCTTCCACATTCATTCTTGCAGAAAATTCTGACTTCTTATCAGGCCCCTCATCTGAATTAGGGTAAAGAAGCAAAATGCAGTAGTGGAAAGAGCTCTTGTCTGGATCACCGGCCAGGATACATCACCAGCTTGCTGTATGACTTCTGGCATATCACCTAACCTCTCTGAGCCTTTCTTTCCTTCTGTCAAATGAGGGTGGTAGACTAAGTAATCTCCAAAATCCCTTCTAGCTCTAAGATTGTGATTTAGAAAGCTGTAGGCCTCAACTGTAGGCAACCGTCTGGGACCATTAATTAGAATGTCACTCACAGACCTTAATTAAACTCCCAGGAGGCCAAGAGGAATTAGCCACATGATTTCCTGCAGTTGTCAACCTTCCCAGGGCCTCCACAGCTGAGGGGGCTAGGGTACCAGCTAATTTGGAGAAGCTGAGCTCCTGTCTCACTGAAGGGAGATAAGGAAGACAAATGACTCTAGGATTCCTAGGCACAAGGAAAATTAATTTACATTGAAGTGGCTACAAAGTGCATAAAACTGTGAGGCTAAACTGGAAAACAGGAACCTAGAGGGAGCTACTGTTGGAAGGTTGGGCACTTTCTCTTCTCCACCAGGCTCTATTGTATAGGACTCTCCTGGGCCCATAATAGACACCCCTAAAAGCCCACCAAATAAATATATTAATAGGTAAGGAGCAAATGGGAGAGTCTGAGGTATTTAAAATAAATTAGCATATTATAGCATGTGCTAAAAGAAAATAGTTCTTCTCTCTGTACAGGGATGGAGGAGGTCAGAAGTCCTGGATTTTGGCTGAGGCAGAGGCTGGCAGTGGTTAGCAGCTCAGTGGGAAGAGTTTGGCATCATCCCCACTCTCTCAGGCTCATTCCCCAGCTCAGATCCCAGTGGTTTGTGGATGTAGCATATGAGTAGGGGGCTGGGACCCTCTCTTTCCTTCCTGGACACAGTCTCAAGGGGTAAGGAGGGAGTGGAGAAGCCCACATTCTGGCTTCCAGGAGAGCAACATCTCACTGTCTGACTCTTCTAGAGTGCTCTCATTTGTATCCTAAATAATTCACTCACCAATCTCTCAAGGAACATTAAAAGGAAAACAAAACACAACCCAGACCTTATGCTCAGGTCCTCACTGCACTGACGGCAGGTCAGGAGGCTGGAAGACAGCCCTAAGCTGTACCTGCAAAGGTACACTAAGCTGGCAAATTCTGAGTACAGCCATGGCCTGTTTTTGTACAGCCCTAGAGCTAAGAATTTACATTTTCAAGGGGTTTAAAAACAAAGCAAACAAAAACAAAGAATATGCAAGAGATTTGTGTGATCTGCAATGCCTAAAATATTTACTATCAAGACCTTGCTGAGAAATTTGCCAACCCCCTAGTCCATTCCTCTTTCCTGAAGGAGGTGATAACAAATTTTTTACCAACTCTTTCACTATCCTACTTCCTAAACTCACTACATACAAAGATTCATATGTATTTAATGTGTCAAGAGTTTGGTACTTACAGTCTAGTGAGAAGCTGGCATCATTATTCATCCTATTAACCCCCCTCCCCCTCAAATAATAATAATAATAAAAAAAAACAAGATGAACTCTGAAGTGGGGTGATGAAGGGGGAACACCAATTGATCTTGGTTTTACTGCATGAGGAGGTGGGGAAGGGAAAGAGAGCAGAGACCCAGCCCCAATCCATTGTCTGCATCTTCTCTGAGGTCAGAATTCAGCATCATCTAGGTAGCTCTATTGACACTACAAGGTCCCCACCATACCCTGCAGCTGTGGTGATTCCAGCAGTCATGGAGGCCACAATTCTTTTACTGAGGAGAGTGCAAGTAGCCCATCCACCTGAGTCCATGAAGCCTGAGTATTATCTCCAAGCCACCTAGGGTGCCAGCCTGACGACAATGCCAACACCCAATCAAGGACAAAGGCTCCAGCCCCTACCCCTACTACCCAGCAGGAGCCTTGAAGGGTGAGGGCTATGACAGCTCTGGAGCCACCTAGACTCTCTTGGAGCCAGAGTATCTGAGAGTCACAGCCAAAGGACCCAGGAAGAGGTAGGCCAGGGTTGGCATGGTGGATGCCAGCTGGGACTGACTCAGCTGTAACTGGGCTGAGTAGCCTCTGGCTGGTATGGGCCTGCCTGGAATTTTCTGAACTGCGGCAGAGTGGAGACCAAGTAGCCCCACATCCTGGAGGTGCTGGGGGTTTTGGGATTATTTCATATAGTGACTATGGTAAAAGTTCCTAGCATCTCCTGAGAAAAATGTTGCTGCTATTCAGCTAGCACTTTGCATGTTCCTGCCTGTACTTGAGACAAAAACATGAAGGCTCAGATTTGAATCCCAATATCCAGGCTAAGCAGGTCAGTAGCTATGAGGACCTGGGAGTCCAAACTTGGGCAAGTCACCTCACCTCTCTAGGGCCCAGATTCTTCATCTGTTAAAAGAAGCAAACAAAAACCTGAGGTGCTTGGATAAGGGTGATTTTAAGATCCTGTCCTTCCCATAGCCAATGAACAGCCCAAACCAAGTGGTGCCTCTGTAGAAGCTTTGCTGCAAAGTTGTTTGGCTTCATCTTTGCTTTCCTTCTCCACATCAATCCAATCCTTCCAAAAGAGATATAGCTGGTCTGGCAAAAGGGAGGAGAGTTTTCCTTCAACATGTCAGCAGCTTCCTGGGGACTCTGGACTGAGAGGAGGGAGGGAGGTGGTGGGCAGTAAATGTGACCTTCTGTCTTTCTGCCTTGTGGCCAGGAGATGGCTGAAGAGAAGGGGAGTCTCATCTCCAAAGCCCCACCATATACACAGCCTCGTCAAAAGCCACAGCCCAGCTACCACACACTTGAATCTAAAGTATCTAAATTGTCTTTTATGAACTCCTCCAGTCATCTAGACATTTCATTTCGTAAGGGCAGGAACTATGTCTTGACATTCTTCTGTGTCCCCAGAAATGCCCAGAAAAAATGCTAGCTATATAGTTGTAGATCCATCCACATTTGCTGAGCAGCTTAACTGAAATGCCCCTGGAAGGAGTGATGCAGCATTTGGCATAGGTTGTATGTGTCCTGGTAGATGAGTTCCCATATTTGCTGGTAGATGACTGAACATCATTCTTCAGACCATGGCTCAGTGAGCCTGTTGTGTCCAGAACATGACCCCCAAGCACTATAGTGTGACCTATAGGGCAAGTGATGAGGGAAGGTTAGAGAAGGGAATGTCTATCCCATCCCAGCATGCCAGAGACTCCCCAGAATCTAAAGGCCATTGAGAGGTCAATGCTGCCACGCCATTGCCCCTAAAGCACTCCAGACAGGGAACCCTTGGCCCAGTGGCCCATGCAAACATAAATCAGGCAAGCTTCACTACTGTTTGCTTCAAAGTAACCAGTTGTCATGGAGCCGATCCCTAGACACTATGTGTGTCACAGTAGAACTGTACTCCACAGGGTTTACAATGGCTGGGTTTTTAGAAGCAGATTCTCAGACCTTTCTTCCAAATGCCTCTGGGCAGACTTGAACTACCAACCTCTTGGTTAGCAGCTGAGCACATTAAATAGTTGCACGATGTACGGCCTCTTTGCTTCAGAGTAGCTACCCACATTGCAAGCTGTGGTCAGCCTCTACAGGCTGCAAACTCAAACCTATAAAATGGTGACAAATGTCCAACTCTATGGTGGGTCTCACTCTCTTCTAGTCTTAAGTATACTTAGAATGGCTGTCCCATCACTTCCCTTGCCTGCCTGAATGTAGGAAGCCCTATTTTATCTCCAACCAAACTTATTCTAGCTGTAGCTCATTTGTTTTTTGCTTTATGAAAATAAAATGGTTGCTCTCTTTAGAACCCTAAAGGCTGCTTTTCCTTCTTTACTTTGGTTTGTTTGCTTGCTTGCCGCGTGTGGTGCTTGGAAGGAAGACAAGAAGGTGGAACTCTGGTTTGCCATGCAATGTCACTCATCTGTATAAATGGTGATGACAACGGTGTGACTGATTAACCATGACACACTTGGGATTGCTAACGAGTTGGATAAAATTTTAATTACCCCTTGTTCTGTGGGGCAGGCAGCAAACCATGAAAATAATAATCCTCTCGGGTGCTGTCACAGCAGAGCACTCTGATTAGAGGAAGGCAGGTAGGGGCTGTAGGCAGTTAATAACAGTGCAGGCTAGCAGGATTCTGTGGTGGTGGGGGGAGGAGGGGTGCAGAGTGGAATTCAGGTAAAAGGTGAGATTCCCCTTTAAATTACCTAGATAACTTCCTCAATTCTCCACTTTGCTCATATAGATATTTTCTGTAGGTAAACTTGCTATAGGCAGAGAGGAGGAAACTAAGGCATGTGGAGCATCAGGAATGTGCCCAGGAAGACATACTGGATTTCAAATCCAGAGCTTCTAATTCCAAATCTAGAAATCCAGGAGGACAGTCTCGGGATGTGCCTTAGGGTTTGCAGATCTTACCTTGGAACACCAACAACCTACACTTCTAGGACTCCTACGCCTCCTTTTCTGCCCCAGGTGAAGGGGGAAGGGCAGGGGTGGGATGACATGTCCATCCCTAGATACCTTGGTGGTTTTGACTTTGTATCCACTGCTGCAGCTCCATCCCGACAGGTCGGGGAGCACCTTACACTCCTCCCCCGGCAGGCAGGGCTCCATCTGACACCACCACTTCTGCAGGACAATGGAGGCTGTGGGAGCAAGAAGTAGTGAGGGCAGCCCTAAGCTCTCTGGGAGGACAAATGTGCAGTCAAGAGGGGGTCTGGGAATGAGGTGCACATTTCTGGCTTTGAAACACACCTTTGACTTTGAGCCCTGCATTTTCCTGGTCTTTCCCCAACCCTGGGCTGAGACAGTACTCAGGCTGAAGCATGGGGACACAACCATATCAATTTTAATCCAAGAGCCCCTACATCTCACTACAGATGGCACAAGGTTAAGGCAGGGAAGTTGTCTTGAAGGCAACCCTAGAGTTGAGCCACCATGTCATTAGCCTAGAGGCACAATCTTCAACATACCCCCTTGGTGTGATGAGTAAGTGTGGGAGCCCTCTGAAGGGGTTCACAGACCAGGAGTGTGCAACTGGGCACATTTATAGGGATGCCACATGAGTGTGAGAAAATGAGCATGTGCAGGAATGTGAAGAATGGGTGGGTGTGTGAAGGGAGGCATGTGTAAGCAAACTACGTTCATCTCTGAGAGGACAGAAATGGTAAAGGTGGGGATGAGGGTGAGAGGAAGGCATGAGGAAGGCAGCCTGAGAAAGGACCAGCAGGTGAAGAAGTAAATGTCTGGAGGAGTAAGTGTGAGGTGAGATGAGAGTTAGATGGGAGGTGGAGGGGATCCTTGTGAAGGAATCTGTCTATGTCTGCCCAGCAGACACAAGGAAGGTGTGTGAGTACGGGAAAGTGTGTGCGTAACAAGACCTTTCCTTGTCTGTGAAATAAGGACAGCAACATCTGCCCTCCCTGCTGCTGAGGTTGCCCTATCACTTGAGACATTGATCATGAAAGCTCCAGGATCAGTATGAAAATGTATCTTCAACAGATGGAGAGGCCTAAACAGACCTAATCTCTTTGATCAGGGCCTCCCCACCCGGATCTGACTTCTCACTCACCATCCACACAGGAGGGCTTTGCCCATGTGGTGCCAGCCACCTGGCCTGAAAAGCAGGAACATTTGACAGTCTGGGAGCGCTCCTCAATGCGGTTCCGGTTGCAGCAGCGGTGAGCAGCAATCACCTCACAGGTGCCCTGCTTCACTAGGCCTGAAGGAGCAGCACAAGGTAGGGCTCCCAGCCTTGCTCTCTTACCACCCACAGGCCAGGTCTGGTTGCCCTTATGCCCCTCATCCCAGCTTGGGGAAGGGGTGTTTAAGAGATTTCCAATTGCAGGGGAGGAAGTTGTGGATGAAATCTTCCTGTTGCTCCACAGTGCCTCTGTCCTTCCTCCCTCCCTCCCCAGTGAGGTCACACTCTTCATACCTTCAGCAGAGCTTGGCCCTTGAGCAAAGGGAAGATGCAGTCCACACCAACCTCCCCCACCCTGGCCTACCCAGGGTGAGGGCAAGGGCCCAGGAGGTTTACAATGCATGGAGAGGATCATCCGCTTACACAGGCTTTAACCATCCCAGAAGGAAAAACACAGAATTAGGACAGGAGGCTAGACATGACCCCCCACCCCAGGGCCTCTCTCCCTGCAGAACATCTTCTAGCCTGGAAGGAAAAGTGAATCATAGGTCAATGAAGATTTTCTCTGGGTTAGGATAGCAAAGGACCATTGAGTTCCAAGGGTAAAGAATATAGGAAGAGCCAGAACCCCTAGAATTTATGGATTTTAGGGATCTGCTTGTTGTAGAAGGGGGTGGAGTGGTATTCAGCTCTCCAGGTATCCTTGGAACCTCCTCTCCAGTCCCCACCACATCCCTCAAACCTGTGGGAATTGGAGGCTGCAAGGAGGCTGAAGCCAGGTACGTCCACAGCCAGGCCAGGCAAAGTGCCAGCAGCCAGCTGCCTGTGTTCCAGTTCCATGTGGCCCTCTCACTCATCCTGTGGAAAGAAGTACACACCCTGTTCCACTCCAGGCAGGAGATCCCCCAGCACCCAGCCCAAGCTCCTTCTCTGTGCTCTATGCTCTGGGATCCACAAAGACAGGTAGGATACATACTTTGTCCTCAGGTAGCTTTCAGCCTGGCACAGACTCACTGTAGAAGCAATGAGTGCTATAGAAGGAAAGGGAAGCGGAAGGAAGAGGTGGTCCTGCTGGGAAAAGCAGGGAAGGCTTTTTTGGAGGAGGTGACATTTAAGATGGGTCTTGAAGGATGACCTAGGTATGGCATCGTGGAGGACTGTAAGATGGGAGGAATAATAATAACTCCCATTTATTGATCATTTGACCCAGGCACTTTACATACATGATATTAAATCTTTCATGACTGTCCTACTAAGTAGGATAATTATTATCTATTTTCTAGATGAGCAAACTAAAGTTCAAAAAGCCTGGGTGCAATCTAAACAACAATCAGTGCGGGACTGGTTAAATACATGGTGGAGTATGTGTAGAAAAGCAGTCCCATCCTGACAGCTATAAGAAAAAAGGGGAAATGCTTTATGTCTGGTTGCACACAATACTCTCCAACAATAATCCACTATTAAGGGGAAAAAAAGCAAAGTGTAGGATTGTGAATATAAAATGCTAACATCTGTGCAATAGGGAAGGATTATACATGTTGCTTGAATATAAACAAACAGGTCTGAAGGGGCAGCACAAGGTGGACCCCCCAGCCCTCCTCTTCTACCACCCACAGGGTCAGGCCTGGTTGCCCTTATGCCCCTTGTGGTAGTTAAGTTTCTCTGGGCTCCCTCAGGTGCTAACACAGTGTTGGGCACCAGTGACTAAAGCAAATGCCAGGCCTTAGCTGCTACCTTAGATAAGGATCTCTGTCTACCTCTCCATTCCCCATCATCAACTGTCTCTGAACGCACCTTTACTGGAATCTTCTAGCTTCTGTTTGTTCATCCACTGGCCTCAGACTCAACTCTATCTGGACAAATAAAAAGGATTATTAGGGAATTGCAAGGGCAGAGGGAGCCTGTGGTCCTGTAGAGAGCAGAGTGCAGTGGACAGGGCAAGGGGATGAGCAGGACACTCGAGTAGAGGCCAACTCTGAAACTGTTCCCCACCGATGCCCACACAGTATTCTGCTTTGGGAATCCACAGGGGGTCCTTGAAGACTTTGGGAAAATATACGGTTGTAACCCTGACTGAGAAGAGTGGCCTGAAGGAGTTTCTCTATCCCAGGAATAAAGCAGGAAGTCTAAGAATCAGCTCTGGCATCTCTCCGGTCTTGGGAGGGAGCTGAGGATCAGGGAAAGGTTCTGGAACAGAATCTGACTCCTGCCTGAAGAGGCACTTGGAAGGATTCCTGAGGGATCCCTGGATCCTTTTCACCTCTGCCTCCTGCCCCCATCACACTTGCTTTCTGAGTTTGCAGGAAGCTCACTCAACTCTGCCACCCTCACCCTCATTACCACTTCACAGTGCTAGAGAGGGCAGAAAGTAGGGGACACTCCAGGTCCTGTAGCCCCTGTAGCCACAGGCCCCAACAGCATCTCCATTTCTCCCTAAAAACCTCTCCTCCCTCAGCCTCTAAATGGAGTGGAACTGAAGCAATTAGAATGGTGGAGCCCCAGGACCCTGCATCCTAGCTCCCAGAACTGAGAGCCTAGAGGAGACTATGGAAGCAGGAAGGGGAGTGGTGGTCACATCTAGGATGGGGTTGCTGATCCAGGGGCAGAGAGATGCCCACCCTTCTAGAAGTGCTTCTTTTCTGACTGGGTATCTTCTCCCCCGTCCCCATCATGAACTCCCCTTTTGATCAATACAAATGCATCTTTGTCTTCTCTCAGGCAATTCTCATCTCATTTCTCTGCAAGCTGCTCCATTCTCCAGTCCAACTCTCCCCTTCTTCATTGAACCCCAAGACTCAAAATAACTCAGGTGGGGGAGGATAGGGGGACGTTTGTACCAGTTTTCCCACATTCTATTCCTTTCCTCTGAGAAAGCTGGTAAAAGAAGCGTCTGTGATCTGTTCTTGGGCTTGCATGCTGAAGCACTGTCTGCTCTCCTGCCTCAGTCTCCCAGCCTTTCCCCCAGGCCCCAATCCAGGTTAGGAAGGGGCTGAATTAGCAGTCTGCACAGAGTTGCCTCTCCCGCCCCACCCCCGTGTCAACTCAGTCCTTCAAATCTCCATCCCCCCTGGTCTGGGACCTACCTGCTCCGTAATGGTGCCCACCAGTACGATCGCCGGGCTGAGGTCCCCCTTGTCTCTGAGCCCAGGGACAAGACTTCGAAAGGTGAACTCCCAGGGGCTCCCCAGCCGCCACCCTTCCCTAAGTAGGACCGGCTGTTGGAGTGCGGTAAAGTCTCAAGCCTTATCCTGTCACAAAGTTGCTGCGTTCCCGGGACCGCAGGGCTCTGCTCAAGCTGGCGTGACAGGCATGGTGGGCTTAGCCCTAGGCATGGAGTAGCTCCGGGTCCGACCCGGCTGGCTCTACACAGCTCAGCCGGGGTCCCTCTGAAGCTCCCGCCGCCAGGCCGGGAGCGCACAACCGCCGCTGTCACCTCCTCGCCAGGGGCCGTCCCCGCTGCCCAAGGCCCGCGCGGGCGCTGCCGCCTCCTTAGCGACAGCCCGGGCCGCCGCACAGAGCGCTAGGGGTGGGAGTGGGGGATGTCAGTAGGTTGCAGCGGCCCCTGGCGGCTGAGGGCAAAAAGAGGAAAGGGAAGACGTCCGGTCCCCGCAGGTCCGGTCCAAGAGACACCTCACTTTGTGCAGGCTGGAGTAGCTCAGAGGGCCTCACCAGGGCTCCCTCAAAGCCCCGGAGATCTGCTGGTGCCTAGTCCAGTGGATCAGGGAAAAAGGTAGGCGGGGAGAGTAAGAAGACTTTTAGGGCTTTCGAGCTTTGCATATTCTAGAACTGCATTGTCTAATTCGGTAGCCATCAGCTGAATGCTGTTACTTAAATTTAAATCTAAATTCATTAAAATTAAGAATTGAGTTTCTCATTTGCACTAATCATATTTTAAGTGCTCACTAGCCACATGTAGCTAGTGGCTACTGTATCGGGCAGATACAGAACATTTTTCATCATACACAAAATTGATCGGACAATCCAGATTGTTATTCCCTTAGCCCCTCGCTATTAAAACCAAAACCAAAGCTACTGCCATCAAGTTGATTCTGACTCTTAGTGACCCTTCCCCCTATAGATTGCTCCATCTTTCTTCTGCTGAGAGGCTGGTGGGTTTAAACCACCACCCTTTTGGTTAGCAGGCAAATGCCTTAGGCACTGCACCACCAGAGGTAGCCCTCACTGTTGTTGTTACGACCCCTCCTTGGGTTTCTGAGGCAGTATGGCCATGGAAGTAGATTGCCCAACCTTCCTTCTGAGGAGTGGCTGGTGGATTGAACCGACAGCCTTCTAGTTAGCAGTCAAGTGCCTTAGCCACTACACTATACTACCAGAGCTGCTATGTTAAAAATTCAGAGAAGAATAGTAAGTGATCTCTAGCTATTGAGAGGAGCTCTGGTACCATAGTGCCCGACTATGAGTTGGGTCCAACTCCATGGCACATAACAACAACAACAGTAGCTCTTGAGTGGTGCCCTTAGGGGCTGTGAGTAGTAGAGGAGGCATGAGGGTAGGGGCAGGGCAGCTAGGAGGGCTGCAATAGGTTGGTGAATGGTCCCCATGCTTTGAGGGAGGTAGTGAGTGTGAATCCCAACTTGGAACCCAAACTGTGAAGCCTAGTTTTCTCATCAGAAAAATAGCAGCAATTGTACTGTTTTTTTACAGGATAAAATTTTAGATGGAAAATATTAGACAAATGGTAGGAGAGGTGATCTGTGAATGTATCTCTATAATGGGATGGACAATCCTTTTTAGGAGGGCTTTGGTGTTGCAGTAACGGGGAGGGAAAAGGCACGGAGAAGTAGCCTCTGGGATATAACCCTGTGACCTGGGATAAAGGGCCCTGTATTGAGGATACCCACTCCCCCTCCCTGACTGAGGCCTTATGTACCTTGCCAGGAACAATCACTGAACACACTTTCAGTCCTTAGCAGAGAATAGCACTGACCAGCCCACAAGTCTGCTTCTTCCCACCTCACCTCACTTTCCCTCCTCTATCTTTGCTGCCTCAGGGATGAGTAGAGGTGATGATCTTTTCTTCAAGTTCTGGAGCAATCTGAGGATTGAGGAGGTGTGAGTCAGGAGTGGAAGGTGAGAGGTACATGGAAAGGAAAGCCAAACTCTTAGGGTTTGGGTATGGCCTGTGGGCTGTTCTGGAGCCCAGAGGAGCCGTTGACATCCCTCCTAACCATATGATGCTGGGGCTGGGGGTCTCTGGGTCCTGGCTCTGTGTCCCATTTGCAGCCACACCATGATGGAGACTGAGAAGAACAGAGAATAAGAAGCAAGGTGACATCAAGATGCGATGAGCAAAGTGTCCCAGAAACACTGAATAATAAAAATAACCAGAATGCGGTATATTTTTCCTTCAGTCTTTGGCTTGGGGCAGCTGTTGAGGCCATTTATCTAAGACCTGTTTCTAGTTTTTTTTTTAACAGGAGGGACATACCCATGTCAGCAGCATGCTTTTTCTCTCCCTGTCTGCCTTCCCAGTCTATGCCTCTGGGTCAGATATTCTCTCATGATTTCTTTTCCTCTGGGTCTCTCTGCCCAGTGTGCAGGCATAATGTATGTTGTTGTTGTTGTTGTTGTTATGTGCCATCGAGTCAAACCCGACTCACAGTGACCCCTCCTTGGGTTTCCGAGGCAGTATCACTACGGAAGTAGGATTGCCCAACCTTCCTTCCGAGGAGTGGCTGGTAGGTTTGAACCGCCAGCCGTCTGGTTAGCAGGCAAGTGTCTTAGCCACTATGCTACCAGAGCTCCCGGCATAATGTATAGCAAGTCTAAAAACCTGAATGAGCATTGTGGGATTTTTATTTGGAAGCTTCCAGGAGAGCCACTCACTCCTTCTAGGGGTCAGTTTGGCCTAGGGAACAGAGAGGGATATTGTCAGGAGGCACCATGTGACAGAGCCCAGAGGTTGGGTTCCCATGACCCATCCAGGTGCCAGTGGGCTCTAATAGTTATCCTGACTTGTATTAGGGCCACAAGGAGGAGCCTTGCCTCCATTGGAACCATGTGTGTAGGGTAGTAGGTGTCTCAGGAGACCTAGTGATCAATTCTTTGATACTGGATTTAGGGACAGAGTTCTCCTAGCATCGTGTCAGTACCACTCCCCCCGCCCCCCAAGAGGAGGACAGAAAGAACAGGCAGCCACCCAGTGATAGGCCCAGTGTAGGCCTGCCTCTTAGGTAGGTGCTTTGCCTTGGCCTCTGTCTCCCCCTCACGGCAGCCACAGAACTTGCTCAGCATCCATGGACTGCTCTAGGCTTCTGCCTTAAGAGAAGGTGGGTGGGATGAAAGGAACCCCAAATCCTCTCTGCCACACATTCTCCCTCCTAATCCCTCTTCCCTGATCCTAAGACATCAGCTTGGTTATTAAGACAGTCATGGATGTGAATATCTCACTGGCTGGGCGACTTCTCAGGGCGTCAGGCAAAATGACATCCACTGTTTCGTTCCTAAAATGAATATAATAAAACCTATCTTGAAGAGCTGGTATGCAATATAAATGGCCTAATATATGGAAAGTGTTTTGTAGACAGCCCAATATGCAGCAAGTCCTCAATAAAAAGTTGTTATTATCATCCTTACTAACTAGCTGCTGTGGTCAGGGAAGGTCTAAGTGTGGAGGGAAAACAGTCCTGAGGGTCAAAGTGGGATCGGAGTGACAACCGCTCTCGCTCTCTTAGCTCTAGAGTTGGTCTACACGAGATGTCAGGGTCCCAGGAACTTATTCCTAGCTCCCTAATTCAGGGTGATAGGCTCCAGCCTACGTAGTTACTACCCCCCACCCCATCACCAGCTCGTCCTCTCTCGCTCTGGTTCCAGTAGCCCCTAACAGAGGTGTTGTCACAC